GAAAAAATAACGTAATTTTGAAATTATTTTGAGCAATAGTTGCAATCTGAGAAATTAATCATCGGTAAATTTGGTGAGACGAATTTCAATTCAAATTTTTAAAAGAATTCTTTCAAAATACCAAATAACTGTGATATCAGTGTATTGCACTGTTAAATTAAGCCTCCAAAAAAAACTTTTTACTTTTAGAAAAATACCTGTCACTCACCCCAAACACTTCAATAACCAACCCAACATACGAGAGCCAAATTTCGCCACGTTCTATGTTCGTCATGGTAGCAGATTTCATGCAGCCGATCACTTTTTTTACGCAGCCGGTGGTTTTCAATTAAGTGAAAATCGTGTGGATCATAACAATTCATTGAGTAATATTGTTTGATGATGACTGGAAAGCGGTTTAAAAATTCTTTGCAAAATTTATTTAATATTGTAAAATTTCTTCTTTATTGAAAAGATAAATGGAAAACTTGAAATTTTTATTGTAATCTAAAATTGTTTTCATCTGACTTGCGTAGTTATGAATAGAAAAAAAAGCAATCAAGATTTGATTTGATATACTCATTGGTTTAAAATATAATGAAATTTAACTTCGTTTGACTTAAGTTAATCATCATTTCCGACACGTTATCGGTCACCATAAGAATGAATACTTTCATTAATCATGATAACAAGTAATATATCGAAAAAGAAAAACCTTAATTTTTTCATTTTATTATTTTATTATTTAAGTTAACAAGAAAAATAAAAAAAGCTAGTCATTTAAGCGTGCTTAAATTGCCATCGAAAAATATGAATTAAAGAAAACTTAAACTTCCATATGCTGCTCACCATTATCGATACAATGGGAAAAAAAATTTTTGACTTAGTTCATTTAACTCAGTACGACTGATAAGTGGTGACAAAAATCTTCCTAGATAATTAATATTGATGAAAATCAAAAAAATCTTATTTTACATTTATTTACAAATGAAATGTTTCATTTAAATCGGATAATGATGTAATAAAGCATAAAAGAGCGTATTGTTTCATTGTCGCTGAGTACAACTTTTTTTTTTTTTTAATTCAAACTAATTTCTGTTCAAATTCAAATTCCTCTTACGTTTGTCCACTTTAAAATATTGGCATGCTTCTGATCATTTCGAATAAATTCAAATGTTAGTCGATTAATATTTGAATGTAATTCAAATATCACCTTGACTGAATTTTTTTTTCCAATCTGGAATTTTTTACTAATTCTATGAAATAACGATCACTTTTTTTGAAATTCGAAAATTTAATTTGAGTCTTAGGTTCAGTTTTAGATTTAATCGTGGCTGTTCCTCCATTACGTTCATGTGAATGATAGAAATTTTCATGAATTTTTATTTTAAGATTATAAGAAGAATGGAAATGTTAGTTATGATGGCTTAGTAAAAATGATTAAATCCTTCACTTTTGATGCAAGAAAAATATTGCTTTAAAAAAAATCGAAATGTTAAATTTATTGAATTCAATGAATTCAAAACATATTGAAATATGGAAATGAGTTAACTGATAACTTTTACAAAGCAAATTTTCCATAAAATTTAGACTTTTACTTGAAAGTAAATGTGAACGCTTTTCTCCGATTGAATTGGAAGTTTGTTTTAGAAAAAGAATCTAAAATATATTTTGGAAATTTTCGCATTCAAATTATCAAATTAAATGTTCCGGATTGAATCACCGAAATTTTTTTGGGATTACTATTTACTGTCTTCGCCATTTCACTGATTTTAAGTATTATCTACATATGAACAGGTGATATATCTAACATCGAAAAGTAGTAAGTTCGAATTTGAGAATGATCTGATAACTTCACAATTAAAAAGGATTTTTCAATTGTCGGAGATATTGGTGAAAATGATTTAGCGGAAAGGGAATAATAATGATTTCAATGGGGAAGGATTCAGGAAACATTCTGAAAGTTTACTATTTGAAGTAAATTAGACTTAATCATTGAAAAAAAAAGCCGCCAAGAGTATTAGTAGTTTCACAACATGACATCGTAAATTTTGACAATTCTGACAAAAGAAAAAAATAAATCAAATGCAATTCTCTCAATTAAAGAGAAAAAGAAAACGACAAGAATTTCAAAAAATCATTCCTGAAAGGGATGATTTCGTTTGTAAATGTATTTCCAGTTTATAAGAATACTGTAAGGCAAAAATACAAGCAATGTCTCGATCACTTAGCATTAGCCCCAAGAAATGATAGTTACGAATGACATAACATAAATCAAGATATTACAATTTTATTAAACCCATTCACTGATCTTCCCCAATGGAACAAATTCCATTATTTTCATTACGGTGATGTTTTGGAGCTTTGTCAGTCATTTTTTTTTTTTATTGAAAGTTTAAAGAGGTGACCTTTTGTAATTGTGGGAAAGAATAAGTTAAAAGCAACGAACCTGAAATAAATAACTAATGGTAGAAATATTAACAAAACTGATATACAATAAGTTAAATTTATAACAAACATGAAAAAAATAAAGGAACTAACAGAAGAAATATTAAATAAATGAAATTAATAAAATGCATGGAAAAGATAAGATTAGCAAAAAAGCATGCGAAAATACATAGAAGATAAGATAATAGGAAGAAAAGTAAAAAGAAAAGGAAAAAAAACGGGCAATATTAGTAATACATTTACAAGAGACTAGCAAAAAAGCGTGCAAAAATATGAGTAGAAGAAAAAGATATAAAATAGGTTGAATTAATAAAAATAATGAAATTTCATCAAGAAGAAAAGAAAGACTCAAAATTGAAAAATTAGTTAGCAAACAATCAACTCTTGCAATTCACTAAAAATTATGATGGCAAAAGTGCAATGCAATGGAAGATAATCAATTAACATAAAAATCGAATTAATTAGTGATTGGGAAAAAAAAACAAAACAAAACAAAAATTTGATAGAACAGCACGTTTCGCATAAAGCATGATGTTGTTGTTTTAAAAAAAAAAGAACTTTGGAATTATGAGAAATTATTCGTTTGTACACTTTTTGATCCTTCCATCGAAGTGTCAACCAAAACAAATTATTTTAGTATGCAAAAATCTCACTGTTAGACCTTTTTAAAAGACATTTTGTTTATTTTGAGAATAATTAAAGAATTACATTAGCGTTTTCAGACATTGTTTGAAAAATTCACTATAAACGGAGTAGTGGATATACAATAAAATCAACATGTCTGGTAAATAACGTTACACATCTTTTTGCAGTTCTAGTATTTTGTAACGTCAATGGTTCGTTCATAGTTACGTGAAACAGCCTCAGTTGATCGTGGACACCACTCCAGGGCGCGGATCTCCAAGGCTATCGCTGTCTGTTTTACCGTATGAAATTGTCAGCAATGTGACAGAACAATCAAAATGTTAACAAAACGCTGAAATTAGTATAAATTATATATAGTAGAAATTATGATATGCATATTACCTACGATTTATCAAAATGGTTATCGCTGTGAATTGAATGACTTGCAAAATTTGAATTTATTAGTATAAAATTTATTAGTATATATTTTTTTTATTAGGCTTTTAATTTGTTAGTGTATATTTTTTTCACTAGTCTTTTAAAAAAAAAAAAGTCTTTTAAAAGATTTCAAAGCGAATATACAACAATTATTTATCTCAAAATATGCAGAGGAAAATCATTACAAATTATCAATTTCATTTTGCAATTCACGCTTGATTGAAACATAAAAATTACAATTTTGTGTTGCTCAAGCACTGCGCCATTCGAGAAAACAATGCACCTCAAATTTTATTGTTTTGGATATGTAACCTTACTTACAACTTTATATGCTTATTACTTACTCACAACTTGATATGAATTTTAGTTAATTAAATACACTCTTGAGTTTTAAACTTATTCGCTTACTAATTAGTAAGCTAGCATAGTGATTAAAATGTAGTAAACCAGAAGTGCACAACTGTTACAAGACGTAAAATCATTAGTATCAAGATTTGAAATCAAAAATGGCATTCCGGTATTACATTGTATGGTTGGCATTCAAAAGAAAGAAAAGCCAACTATTAAAAATTTGTTTCTTATTCATAATTCAGGAAGTGATCTACCTTATCTTCCTTGTGCTCGTTTGGATGATGACTTCCTATATTTAACATATGTCGATTGGAACAACATTAAATCACGGCTTGAATTTGCCAAAATGATGCTTGGAATAAACGACTGCTCACATTTATCCCATTCTTTTTTACAGGTTGTTTGCTTTGATACTATTGGTATAATGCATTGTGTGTACAGATATACTGTGCAATGTATACTAATATTGTGCATCCACTATTTTATGTTCTATAATAATAATTCTTGTGACCTCAGAATTGACCTCGGAACTGACCTCAGAACTATCTAAGGACCCGCCCAATTCGTGGAAGAACAAGGTTCTGAGCGCCAAATCATTTTTGAACGATGTGTTCCAACAGATCGGTTGGGAAGACGATAACGGGCGTCATTTGGTCCTTGGTCCCCCCTTTGTTCATATTGATATTACAATTGTTGAATTCGTTTCTGTATTAATCAATTCATATTAATAAAGGTTTAATTACTCAAGTCTGAGGTACTACCAACCAAAGAGGCAGAAAGAACCCTCAGTTTTTGTTACAGTTGAAGAAAATCGGCGACAAGAGCTGCTGCAAGAAATGGATCGTGTTTGCCGAGCCAAGACTAGTTCTAGGTTTAGGTCATAAGGTTTAAGTCTTTATGACGTTTTAACGTATCCAGTGACAAGAAATTATTCACGTACATAAATCTATTGACAAAAAATAGATGAAATGTTTGCAGATTTCAATATACATGTATATATATATATATATATATATATTTATTCCATCCAATTCTCCCTCTTTCTCATTCCTTTAGATCGCTGTCCATCATCGACTTTTTCTCAGCATTGAGTCCTAGAAATTACTAAGGCCTACTATCATCGAGATGTAAACATAAAGCCTTTTTCTCGTAGTTAAAGCAACTAAGGCCGCCTGTGCGGTTGCGTTGCATCTACTTACGCTTCATTTTCAGCTTCAACCTATTTGGTTGTTATTTTTAACCGATAATGGCATTACTCGTCTTAATCATAGCTATTATCTTGTTTGCTAATTACGAGGGTACGAAAGGAATTGCTTTATCACATCAGGCATTTTTTATTTTTTTTTAAGCTTTTTTGAATAAAATTTGAATTGATGTAAAATTTATTGCTCCATTTTTCCAAAAGATTTTAGATTTATCATTATGAAATGATAACATTTCATTTGTTAAAAATAAAACGGTTGATTGAAATCTAATTGAAAAAAAAAATGGGTCAAGAGTTATAGCACTATTGAAATTCATATGTCTTTTAACTATTACTTACTTTGTCAAAATTATTTGTTTCTTTTTAGCCTTTTTTTATCTTAATGCTAAAATTACAGCTATCATTATCATAAACTGATTTTAATCATAAATGCATTTTTGTTTTACAGGATATACCTGAATTTATTGGTTTGATAAGCCGTGACATTGAAACGATCCCAAGTCCATTAGCTTTTGGGCATAAATACATGACAGGTATCTTTATTCTTCGTTGATAACTTTTATTTTTATGAATTTCGAAAGATTTATAAATTTATTATTGTGAAATGATAGCATTTTATTTGTTTAAATGTTAGGTAAATTTGTTATTTGCCAAAATGAATGCATAATGAAAGCAACCAGTTTAACAGGGATACAAAGACATGATAAACTGAAAGCGGAATCAGTTACAGGTGGAGCTGGTGAAGGTTCGCAACTTCTGCGGCCTGATTCAGATTTTGAAGAGCGAGAAAAGGTGAGCTTGTTTCCAAATGGAAACACATCATCATTATGATTATCATCAGCAAATGCATCTCGATTCATTTGTAGTTAGATCCTGTTATTAACAACTCTTCAATGTCTTCCTAACATTCAAAGAGCCGATGCATCAAATTATTTAAGGTAAGAACTATTGAAGTTGTTGGTTTACTAATTTACAGGTTAAAAGTGACAATATATTGCCATCCTATTGTGAACCACCAAATCCATGCCCGTTAGGTTATACAGCAGCGGATGGTTGTTTGGAAGAATTTGAAAATAGCGCTGAATTTTCACGAAATTATCAAGCCAGACAGACATGCATTTGTGATCAAGAACATATGTTCAAGTAAGTACGGAAATTATCAATAGAAAAATGAAGTACGGTAAAAATAATCGAAAAAAAAAGGGAAAGATCAGCAGTAATAAGAAGTCGTGATAATTAGGATGAAACAAATGATGGTAACAAAATGATTAGTTTATGCTAATTGATAAGTCCGTGTGATGAAATATCCAATGAATCATACATATACCATGAAAATATCTCACTGACTCGTATTACTGTAAGCTATCAATTTTTTTTTTTTCATCAACACTTATAAATACTTATAGATTTTGAATGAGAACTGAAGCAATAAGGTTTACATATTTTTAACCTAGAAAATTTCTTAAAATAATTCATTTGAACATTACACTAAGCTATCAAATAATATTATCATTTTGAAATATTATCATTTGTTATTATCAGTATTATTTGAAGAGCATGGAATTATGGTAAATAATATTATCAGTACCATTATTTGAAAGGCATGAAATTAGTGCGCCAAATAATAAATTACCATAGCAAATCAATTAGCGTAATAAAAATAAAAATAATACGATAAAGCAATGATAATAAGTAAAATCTGATGAAACGAAAAGCTGACATCACCGATGGCAGTACATTAAAACGAATGGCAAATGATTCATGATGATATAATGAGAAAATGAAGTGATGAAAAGTAAATTAAAAGAAAAAGATATTTTAATAACAAATTAAAAGATATTAAAAGAAAAATAGAAGATATTGAAATCTTGGCTTTTATTTTAAATTTATTTATTGATTAAATTTTTATCAATGATTTGAAAATATGTTCGTTTCAATTTAAATGTTTCTCATCATTTATCCAACCTGATTGTTTGCTTTTACTTTACTCTTCCATATTATTAAAAATTTTTAGTACTTTTAATGTTTTCCTTTTTTTTTATTAAAGTAAAAAAAAAATTTATTAAAATGAGCATATGATTGAAAATTTGCAGTTGTCCAGATAAAAGAACGGATGATGATTTGGAAGAAAGTTTACAAAATATCCTTAACGATCAAGGATTGCACAAAACTCTCATTGCCAAAAAATTTCATGAAAAACGATCACAAGCAATGGTAATAGAGGATGATAATATTTGTTAGCAATTAAACAACAAGAAGAAATATTTGAACAAATTGAAAGTATTAATTCAAAAAATTAAATTCGTTTATTTAAACGTCAAAACGTCAAAATATTGTTATTCAACCAATAGCAGAATTTCAATTACCTTGAAATTTTTGTTTAAATCATAATACTTACTCAATTTCAAAATATCTACATGGTACAAATTCTTTTGCTATTTATCAGTTTAAAAGAACAAAAAAAAAGAAAAGTTCAACGATAGGGTAATAATCCGTTAGGGATTGAAGTCAATAAATAAAATGAAATGAATTTTTAGGATCTAAATGCAAATTTACAATTTGTTATTGGTTTTATCAAATATCTGATTTTTTTTTGCATCAAATTTTATTTGAATTTTTTTAAATAAAATTTCGAATTTACAGGAGCCTCGTCGAAAGCGCTCCATTCAAAGAATGCCAATAAAACTTTCACAAAATCAGCAAAATCCATACTTCAAAGGTGAAATCCTAAAATCGGTAATTAAAAAGGATGGTCGAAATATATGGCATTGATCAATTAGCCAGAATGTAAAAATAGTCAAAAGCATTGATTATTTCAATTGTTTAACAGTTTTTGATTGCTGATTACTAGAAAAGCAACCCTGTGATCCTTTCCGTCAAGCTATCTATTTCAAAATGATTTTTTTTTTTTTGTAATCCTAATAAATTTTATCCTATTCTCCTAGTTTAACATTTGCTATGTTTACACAAAGCACAAATCAGAAATTTTCAAATTACATTTTTCTTTTTTTTTCACAAACTATTTCCTTGTGATTTCTTAAAATTTTGTCACTTTAAATAGAGCAAATGAAAATTTTTGCATAACTTATTCTAGTAAATAGTAAAACAATAAGTAATAATCATATAATGCTTTCTATCTGCCAATTTTAATAGTATTATGG